TTATTATTTATATATATATATATATATTATTAACACACTCGCATATTTTAACATATTCAGTAATAAACTCTTAACACATATTTTTGAGTATTATTTTTATCTTTTTTTGTTATATAACATATCATTTTTAGTCACTCCATTATGGATGCTTTTAGGCACTATTTGTTTTCAAAGATAAAATGGAGGGGATTGATAGTGGGGAGATTAATAGTAAGGAAATTGTTAGTGAGGAGATTGATAGTAGGGTTATTAAGTAAAATTGTATTTGTTTTGATGATAGTTGTTAGTGTGAAGATTGTTAAATTATTGCTCTATAAAAGAAATATAAAATATTAAAATAAATAAAACTATAATTTTTACTTAACAAAAAATACAAAAATATTAAACATTAATATTCAAAAAAAAAAAAAATGCCCAACATGTAAAAATAAAAAAACTAAGTCAGAGGACTAACTTCTAATACCAACTCTCCCATCTCCATTCAATCCTCTCTCCATGGCCCATCCTAATCTGCAAGCCCATCCCAATCCCCTCTCCACCTCCCAAAATAAACACAATATTAGTAAGTCTCACCTCTATCTCAATCTCAATCCCCTCCTTTATCTCTCAAAACAAACAGGGCCTTAGAGCATTCATAATGAGATGGCTAAAAATATTTGTTAAAATATGCATTATATAACAAAAAGTGATAAAAGTGAGACTCATTTTTATGTGTTAAAGGATTTATTAATTTAGAGAGGGAGAGATGGTACAATTGATATGTTAAAGAGTATATTAAGTGATATATAAATATATTATCTATAAAATTAATAAAAAGATAATGGGCATTGATTTAGACCCCCTTAAAACACCCACCCCTACAACCCCTCACACACATGGAGGTTGGGGATTGGGTGAGAAGAAAAAAAAAAAGAAAAAAAGAAAAAATTGACCAATCAAAACTAAAAGGGGTCAAGGGGGTGACCCCCAAAGGGGGTCTCAACCTTTATTCAAAGATAAGACCATTTCCAACCCTGAACCAAACCTGGCATCAAATTTAAAATTTAGTGAAAAAAGTACTTTTTCATGCTCCAATGGTTTCACCAAACTGGTATCAAATTCAGAATTCATCAAACAAATCATCAAAGTGAGAACAGTATACAGATTTCAGCAAATTACTGTACGTGATCGTTGGAGGAGAGGAACCGTTCAACCAGCCGGTTGCCCGGCCAGTTGACCAACCGGTCGACCGGTTCCCTTTCAAAAACATAGGTTCAAACAAGCCAAAAGATTCAAACAGCTTAAAAAAAAAAATAGTCTTACTGGTCAACCGGTCGGTCGAGCGGCCGGTTGACTAACTGGTCGACCCTTCAAATTGAGAGATAGAGACCCAGACAGATACAGATTTTTTTGATGTGCCCAACTTCAATAGCATATCCTCACTCAACACCCACAGAGACAGAGAGAGAGAAAGAGAGAGAAGAGAGAGAGATGAGACACCTGGGTACGAACCAGTTTGTTGTTTGGCATGATTTGCTTTCCCTTGTGTCCTCCAACAGAGGCGTGGTGTTGATGGGTTTTCTGTGTTTTTCACAGTGAGAAAGAAGGATCATAGCATTTGAAGAGTTAAACACATCATTTGGTGAGTAATTGAAGCTTAGTTTGCTGAGAAATCAACTGGGGTTTTCTCAACTTTTCATTTTTGTTCAATCTTTACTAATGGGTTTTCTGAAGTTCTGTTTTTGGTTGGTCTTGTGAGCTAGGTTTCATGAAGAATCAATTGGGTGGTAAACTATTTTGACCCTCTAGTTCAATCTTCCTAGCTAATGATGCCACATAAATGTTGATTTTGTTGAAATTTGGGAGCTGGACTTGGTGAAGAATCAACTAGATTTCAAATAATTGTAGTTTATGGTTGAAACTCCATATTGGGTCTCCCTCAAGCTTAAATTTGATGATCTTTTCTGCTTTTTCTGGTGTTTCTTTTAACCTTTCAAGGCTCTTTTTGAGGTTATGTAGGTGGATTCTAGTTAAGAATGGAACCCAAATGGCCTTACCGGTTGACCGACCGGTCGACCCGCCGGTCGACCAACCGATCGCCCCTCCCCCCTTTGATGCACCTTTTGATGCACCGTTGGAGCCAGTGGTATCAAATTGAGAAAATCGTCCTTATTTTTCTCAGATTTAATGACAAAAGAAGTTCAGCGTTGGAGATGCTCTAAGGGCATTATAAAAAAGACAAATATTGACAGCTTTTCTTACTTTCTTTTTTTCTTTTTGTTAACCCAGATGTCCCTTCTCTCGGCCAGACTCGTTGCTAACCGCAGCAAACTGACCAACTTCTGACACAACTTAACAATTGCTTAACATTTTCGTTGCAACACAAAATAACATTTTTAATTTGTTAGAATGTTTGGCATTTACTATATAATTCATCTTTTTATTTTTTTATCTTTTTTCCATCACATCACCTCTCTACTTTTCTACACATTTTTTCGTAAAAAGATAAAAAATATACTTTTTTAGGACATCCCAAATCAACCCTGACACATGCTAATAGTTCCATTGCTATGCTCTTCGAGTACCTTAATAGATGTATTAATAGTGTTAGTGTGAGTGACTAATTTTTTAATCAATTACAGTTATTTTTATCCTTTTTTTTTTTTTTGTTACAGGGAAATCCTCCCACCCTTCTGCAGGTCCAAGGCAGCGCCCCATGAGGAGATCACCAGGGTGTCCTGTTGTCCGTTCTGAATAAGAGACTATAACCTGAAAGCTTGTCCCGACCTCCCAAGGCAAGCTTCGATTAAGTCAGGACTCGCACAGCGGGGGAGCATTAAACCCACACCAACTAGCTGATTAGGCGTCCTTGAGGTCCAACCTCCTAACCAACAGTGCTTCGCCCAGGAGATTGGCCCAAGGGGAGAATTGAACTTGTGACCTTGGGGCTTAAATCCTAAGACCTTTCCACAATGCCACAACCCCTTGGGTTGTTATTTTTATCTTCACTATGGAAGTATAATGGGTTGGCCAAACCTAAAATTTCGTTTAAGTGGCTAAATCATTACACACATTGTGGCCAGTGAGAGGGAGAGAAGGAGAGTAAAAAGAGAAAGAGAGGCTGACACACAGTGCACTGGGATGGGTCTATTGCACTTTTCAATTATTTATTATATATATATATAGGGGTCTTTTGAGAACACTAAAAAAGTTAATTTTATGACTTTTTAACTTTTTCAGTTAAAAAAGACAGTTTTTTTATTCAAAATAATCCAATTTTTTGTCAAAAAAGTCACCAAAAAAGTCAAAAAATCAAAAAGTCAATTTTTTATCAACTTTTCAAAACACCACATATATACTCTTAACATACATCTTAATACACATCTTGATATATTCATTGCACTATCACTCACTCTATAAAATTAACAAATTTTTAACACATATTTTTGGATTCTATTTTTATTATTTTTCTATCATATAATACACTATTTTTTAACCAATGTAGATGCTCTTAACAAGCAAAGGAAGGAGAGAGAGGTGTGGAGACAGAGGAACAAGCTAGAGCACATTAGTGAGGTGAGGCTGACTGCACTTTTTGTATTATTTGTTTATTTTATTTATTATTTATATATGTTTTAACATATATTTTAATATATCAATAATGGTACATACCTCAAAAAAAAACATAACTCCTATAACCCCTACTCATATGTGATTGGTTCAGGAAGAAAAGAAGAAGAAAAAAAAAAACACAGGATTGATCCACATCATTTTAAAGGTTATGGGAGTCTCCACTTTGAGGGATCCAAGCATTTTTGTTAATATATATATTGAACTATCATTCACTATTTAAATTAATAAATTCTTTAACACATTTTTTAATTTTATTTTTATCACTTTTTATCATACAACACATAAAGTTAACATCTCAACCAAAGATGTTCTTACTTTGGCTTTGCACTGCTGGGAAAATGACTTTTAGCGGCGTTTTAAAATGCCGCTATATGTCTGAAAAATGCCGCTAATTCCTTTAGTGACGCTTACCACCAAACGCCGAAGACGCGGCCGTCGCTGTAAGTTTATGACGCTTTAAAAACGCCGTAAAATTAGTATAGGCGGCGTTTATAAAAACGTCGCTAAATGTGGCAGCCAACGGTAACATGACGTCACATAGGCATTCAGCGACGCTTCAAAAATGTCGTAATAGCTTTTTTGTTATTTTAAAAATATAACTATAGTGGCGTTTTGAAAAACGCCGCAATAAAATTTTTTTTTTTAAAAAAAACGACTAATTTTGTGAGATTTAACTTTAAAAATATACCTGTAAAATAGCAATAATGAATAAAACTATGTATAGACGTATATTTCTGTGACATTACTATTCCTCACATCTATAATAGTACCCAATACAACATCTTTCAAGAAAAAAATCCAATAAGTTCAATCCCAAAAAACCAAGTAGCCATCTCATGCACAGTTTCACATCATCCATCGATCACAATGGAACTCAAACAGGACAAGTACCCATGATACCAACACTGACTTTACACAACACTGAAGTATATAAGTCAGGGAAGAGTAAAGTGAAACCAACCAACATCAACCACCTTCTTGAAACTGTCAACAATCAAAACCCAAACACAAACAACCACTAAATTATCTTTGCATTGCTCAAAATAACAAAAAAAGAAGGAAAGAAGAACAAACTTTCTTGCACTTTCTTTGCAGGAATCAGAAGTCCATAATGCTTCAAATGGGACAGCCAGGGTTTCCTCCCTTTTTCTTAATCCTGTTTGTCTTGTTCTATTTTTGTTCTCTCTCCTTTTCTCAATCAGAAACTCCACAAAACATTAATTCTTAATCAGCATATTATTCTCCAGTAATAAGCGCAACACCTGGAATTCCGAACGATCTTCCAATCTCTTCGGCACAAGTGCCAGTTATAAAGGCAACTCGATCGCTGGATCGAAGAGTTGTTAAAGCTGTTGTGGCCACAGCTGCAAGTACTCTAGTTGTTGTTGGGATCTTGTTCTTGCTCTTCCACAAATTAGCCTTAGCTCAATAGTATCACAGAGAGAAATTTGATTCAAGTTTTCGTCGAGAAGAAACAGTGGTGGTGAGTCATCAAGAGTTCAGAGAACTAGGAGGAACTCTGAAAGGACTAATTGTTGATAAGAATGGGTTGGATGTTCTTTATTTGAGAAAACTTGAACAAAAACACCTCATGAGTTGTTTCTCTAAAGTTTGGGTAAATCCAATTTCAATGGAAGAAGAAGATGAAGAAGAAGAAAAGAGGATTTATACTAGAGGAGATAAACTCAAGAACTCTGAAAGAATTCAGGAAATCCCATTGCTTCATGAGCCACGTAATATGGCTGATATTGCCAAAGTGGCAAAACCAGCTCCACTTATTCCTTCACCCATTGTGACACCACCACAACCATTATGCCCCCCTCAACCACCACAACCTCCTCAGCCTCCTCCACCACCACCACCACCACACCACCACCTCATCCATTACCAACTTCAGCAAAGAGAAATCCTGCACCACTACCTCCACCACCTGGGACTGGTGGTTTGGTTTCATCAATGAAACCCTCTCATGTACCAAGGGGAAATACAAGCATCAATAGTAGGGTAGAGGCTCCCAATGGAGAAAGCACAAAAGGGATAAAACTGAAGCCACTACACTGGGACAAGGTTATAGCTAATGCTGATCATTCAGTGGTCTGGGATGAGATCAATGATGGATCTTTCCGGTAAATGAGGCCTTGAATTTAACCACATATTCATGTTTTTTTTCTTCTTTACTATCCGTCTGATAATTGACATTGTGTTCCTTGTTATTGGTCTTCTGTGTTCTTTAGATTTGATGATGATCTTATGGAAGCTCTATTTGGATACAATGCCACCAATCACAGATCTCTTGAAAGCAGTAAAATTTCAAGTTCAATTAGTTCCAGCTCTGTTCCACCTGCTCAAATCTTTATCCTTGAGCCTCGGAAATCCCAAAACACAGCAATAGTACTTAGATCTCTTGCAGTATCTCGGAAAGAAATCCTTGATGCCCTCCTTGAGGGTCGAGGCCTTAATTCTGATATACTCGAAAAACTTGCAAAAATCTCCCCAACTCAAGAAGTATCCAAAATCCTTCAATTCAATGGCAATCCAACAAAACTTGCTGATGCTGAAACAAAGAACTCAAAGAACTATTAAAGAGTGACTATATTTATTACTATTTAGTATTTACTAGCAACAAAGAACTCAAAATCAGTGGTTTATGTTTCAATTATACTTGTTGAACCACTGATTGCTGCCAAAGCAGGGCTTACTCACACCATCAAAACAACAGTGGACATCATATGTAACAGTTTGACAAAATGATGGCCAGGGCATTTATGAGCAATGATCACCGTATCACCTGATGATTCATGAATCATTTAGTATAAAAAATTTACGCAATCATTTAGTATAAAACTTTACGCAAACATTTTGAATTCATGAATTCTCTAACTATTCCACAATGCATAAAAAATAATTAAAAAATAAAGAAGATAAATTTAGTATAAAAAATCTCAGCCTAATTAAGCCATACCCAGAAAATGAGAGACAGAGAAGGGTTGAACCTTGGCCACATTGGTAGCACAAGCTAAAGGTAGAAAAAGGTGTGGCACAGTTGTAGTTGCCAACTCTCCCAGCACCCAACTCCATTAGAAGATCACCCGCAAAACAAAGCTGAAGGGAATCATGATTTTGACCAAAGATTACTTGTTAGAAATCAGAACTAAGTTTAGTGAAAATCAACCACAAGAATAACTATGATCTATATCTCTTCATATGAGTGGTACCGCATTTATGCAATCATAACATCCAAGAAATTTGGCAAATTATATGGAATTGTGTTTATATTAACAAATTTTATTACAACAAACTAGAGTAAAAAAAAAAACAATAATATACTTAGCTAGATTTGCCAACGTTTCAAATTTAATCATAGTCTTTCCGTCCGGGTGTTCAAGGAAAGAAAAATGCATTATCATTTCCTTCAAAGTGTACTTTGTGCTTTTCACATCATTATCCCATAAGATGTTCTGTAATCGAAGTGCAGAAACTGTATTTACAGGTCAAATTGTAAGAACTGAGGTCAAGCAAAGACTGAAACTAACACAGATTCTCATATGACATGATAATTAAAAAGACATTGTATGTGAGGTTGAGGGTGGAGAAGAAAGGCACACAATCAATAACAGCGAAAATAATATAGAATAGCAAAGGATAATGAACAAAAATGGATGGGCACAAAACTGGATAGCAGATTTCCAGAACTAAGCATAGAACCATCAACTTTGAGCTCAGAGAGAAGACTAGACTGTAATGCAAAGGAGTCTCATCTTGATGTAGAACCTGCATGAAAATTCAAGATACTTAGGAAATCCATGAAAATAATCGGCCATAATTCATGAAATTGAAGCGGTGAACTCAAATATACAGTGCTAACCAACCTGTAGTGTACACACTGTATCTGTTGAGGAAAATATCGTTCCTATTGATGAATCAAATTGGTAAGAAATAAGGTCGAGCCAAAAAGTTATATGATAAAAGAAATGTTAGTACATTATCATGGCATGTTAAACCAACACCCAAGGAAGGCAAGATGGATAAGGATCAAACCAAGATAGTCATGCAGAGTCAACCCAACAAACTATTGCTAAAGATTAAAGTTTTGATGAGTAAACTAACAAGAAAACTATGGTGAGCAAGCCAAGGATCATTATATAAACTATTGCATGTACCAAACCAAAATTGAAACTATATAATATTTAGACTTCTAAAAATAGTCATTTCCAGCGAATATAACTTACTAAGCTCCTCGAATGACTGAAATAATCGTTTCCAAGATTGGGAATTTACATAACCAGTAACCAAACAAGCAGTCCTTTAATACGTGAAATTAATGAACTACCATTATATAAACTATTGATGCACATAATTGTTAAGAACAACTAAAACATTCCTAAAAAAGTTGTATTTGAGAAGAACCTATCCCCCAAAGCATGATTTCTAAAACTACAAAAAAAACATGAATAACACAATGACAACCCAATTTGGGAAAGAAAAATGCACAAAAAAAAATTTTTTTTTTTAAAAAAAAATCAATATATCTGAAAATCTGACAAGTGAAGTTCATATGCTGTTTTGCAACTGAAAATAGGGAAATTTCTCAACTTCCATGATAAAATTGGACAAGCTTTAAGATCCTTAGTAGAGTATCCAAATAAGACAACAAAGTCCAAAAACAAAAACAAAAAAACAAAAAGAGTCATATTGAGTTAATCAAGATCCTAGAGCATCCAAATAAGACAATCAACTAAATTAATTTTTCTGTTTTGGTTGTATATGCACTAAAATTAAAAGCATCAAAACTGAGCATTTTCAATATTTAACACACCATGAAAACTGATAATTGGACCACACACATATGTTGCAGACAACTACTAAACCATGATGAATTCTTTGTATATAAGCATTCTCTGTATACGTAGGCGAGAACCCAAATTAAATTAAGTTATTTGGCATTTGGTAACCAGTAGACTGGTAACCCTTATTATTCCTTGGCCAGCTGGACTATGTATACTATCTTCATTATTATTATTATTTTCTCTTGACTAAGAACTAACTAGCAGAAGAAGAATGAGACTAAAAGCAAAGTAGGTCATTAATTTCTCTCATTCTCACCACTTGGAAGCAGCTCAATAGTCTATCAATGAGTAAAAAACTATATTTAGATTTACAAATTTCATTATTAATGAATATCACTACAAGTCTAACTAGTCTATCATTGCGTCCATGAAACAATACTTTGGTACGAAATCCACACAATTTAAGCAAAATAACAAATAGCTATTCACAAGCAGAGCACAGAAGAAACATTAATTATATACCCACTAAATCTTCACAAACCAATGGGAAAAAGATAAGCAAAGAGAGATTCACAAACAGCTATTCAAAACAGAGCACAGAAGAAACATCTAAGAAAGAAACAAGTTTCAAATGTTCCTAAAATTTGAGCTCAACTAACCTCTGATCTCACTGATCGAAGAAGACGAAGAGTTCCAAATCCACAAAGACGAACACCACAACTGGAATCACCGAGCTGAAGAAGGTTTTGAAGGATTCGATCGATTTTTCTAAGATTGTAGAAGGTGGTGCTCACAATCGAGAGAGAGAGAACTTCAAAATCAAAATCGCAATCGCTCTGAGATGAATCACTAAGAGGAATCACCATGCTGAAGAGGAATCGAGCGAGAGAACTTCGTATTGATTCGATCCTCTGAGACTAAAATTAGGGTTTAGAGAGAGAGAGAGAGAGAGAGAGAGAGTCACCTTTGGAGTTGTGAGAATAGATCGACTTTGTGTAGGGTTTGGAAATAGGGGTTTGAAGAGAGACAGGAGTGGGTTTGGAAATAGGGATTTGGAGGCGCTTTCAAACGACCTCTATTCAGAAACGGGACCGTTTTAATTAACACAAAAGGGGACGTTTACAAAACGTCGTTAATTATCAGAAAAGGTGACGTTTAAAAAAACACCGTTAATTAAACGTCGCTAAATCCATGATTTCCTGTAGTGATGTCTTTAACAAAATCAATTTCTTGAATTGCATTTGACACAAGTATGTGAGAATAACAATGAATTTTTTTTTTATAATTAGATGTGATGTTTGTAAGAGAAGAAGTGAAATAATTATAAATTTAATATAACATTTTATCTTAATTGAACTTTTTATTCTATTTTATCTATTTTTTAAATAAATTTGAACCAAAAAAAACAATCTATACTTAGCTTCCCACACACCCCTTTTGTATGCCCAACGCACACGCATAAATCTTCACTTGTCATCTTTTTAAATTTATTTTTCCTTCGTTCACACTCTCGGCTATCTTCCTTCCTCCTTTCCTCTTTCACTTTGTTTTCTCCCTTATTTATTTAGAATTAATTATCTAAAAGTCATATTTACAATGTTATGATAGCTCAGATTTTATTTAATTTTTTTTGAATTAATAGGTCCTATTTAGTAAAATTGATAATGTTATTCTAGATAATTTTTTTTATAATTAGATGTGATGTTTGTAAGAGAAGAAGTGAAATAATTATAAATTTAATATAACATTTTATCTTAATTGAACTTTTTATTCTATTTTATCTATTTTTTAAATAAATTTGAACCAAAAAAAACAATCTATACTTAGCTTCCCACACACCCCTTTTGTATGCCCAACGCACACGCATAAATCTTCACTTGTCATCTTTTTAAATTTATTTTTCCTTCGTTCACACTCTCGGCTATCTTCCTTCCTCCTTTCCTCTTTCACTTTGTTTTCTCCCTTATTTATTTAGAATTAATTATCTAAAAGTCATATTTACAATGTTATGATAGCTCAGATTTTATTTAATTTTTTTTGAATTAATAGGTCCTATTTAGTAAAATTGATAATGTTATTCTAGATAGGCAACCCAAGAGAGGGGGTGAATTAGATTATTAAAAATTTTACAATATTAAGATTAACACAATATTCAGAATTTTAACAAATAAAAAAAACAGAATAATAATTATTATTATAAAAGTAAGAGAGATAGGGAGAGAAAATCAAACACTGAGATTTATAGTGGTTCGGCACGCCAGGCTTACGTCTACTCCCCAAGGAACCTCCTTGAGAATTTCTTTACAATCAATTGAATAAATACACCACCAAGCTTGTGGATTTGGCACATGACTTACTCTTATCTATTGAGCCTCACTCAACAATAAATGCCTTACCCTTACAAAATCTCTCACAAAAATAAGGAATAAGGAATAAGAATAAGTGGTATTTAAACCCTCTTTTGCAATAATTCTGTCACAAATAGTAGATATGAAAGTGTAAGAACAAAGGCTAGACTTAGATCTGAAAGTGAAAATGCAGAATACAATATACTCAGAATTTTGGAGCTCACATAAATTTTTTTCTTCAAGTTTTTGATTTTTCTCCACACACAACACTTCTATTTATACATAAAAATATACCCGTTAGAACGCTCCTTACTGATGTCATGGCTTACATAAGCACGCTCATTGATTTTAAATAGTCAACAACATTGCTGACGTCATGGCTTACATAAGCACGCTCCTTGATTTTAAATAGTCATTAAATAGTCAACAAATATTAATAATTAAAAAGATAAAAGTATGACTAATTTTTTCTTTTCCTTTTTTATTTTTTCAAACATGGAGCCACCGTTTTTGTAGACAATTTAATACAAAGTTCACAACTTTCAAACAAGCAAATGATTTGCTCTATCTTGTTTTATTATAATATATATATATATATATATAACTCCATCTTTTTCTTCTTGTTTTATTATAATATGATATAATCAATGTAGTGTAGTGTGACATGATATAATCAATGTAGTGTAAAAAGTTTAATTGCTCACGTGATGTATTCTATGTATATTATATGCATTCTATATAATATTCTAATCGAATATTTGCATATATTAGTAAAATCCTTTTAAGTAAAATATTTATAATAGATCTGATCATATATACCCCTTTTAAATTTTTGTAGAGATTTTTAATTAAACGTAACCTACCACTACATTTGGATATATCACTTTTGTCAAAAGAAGACAACTCATCAATATCACATTTGTTAAGATAATACAACCAATCAATCAATTTTGTCAAAATAATATAATTAATCGATTTTAATTTTGTCAAAAAGTAAATAGTGATCAGCTTAATTTTTCAAAAAGTGAATAGTAGAGTTTTCAAAAATATTTTTATTTAGATAATATTTAACAAATATATATATTTTAAACAGATAATATTTTGTGTCAAATAATATGTATATTAAAAAATCTAAATTTTTACAAATAATATTTTAGACGTCATCAAAATTAAATAATATGATTAACAATCTCTCCATTTTTGATGATGGCAATATTTGTATAGATTTGACACAAAATAAAATTAGCAAAATATTTGATAACCTTGCAACATATAATTTTCAAAAGCAAAAGTATATTTTTTCTTCCCATTTGACATCATCAAAATAAAAGATGAAGATAGGAAACAGATACATGTGGTAAAATAATCTGAGATGCCAAAAATATAATAATGGTCCGTAGGTCTTGTCGAGATCATTGTGGGGATTTTGGAGCATCTCGAGCGCACAAAATGTTGACAAACAAAAGATTTGAGCAGATATGCAAAGAGACGAAAATAGCAAGTGTTGGAGAGAAAAATTTGTTTTACCTTCTTGTGTAATAATGTCATTCCTTACCTTAGCAATCAATGGTTCGGACCTGCATGAGGTGCCTGTAATGCAGGCAAATGAGAGGATACCAGTGGTGCAGGCACATGCTATGCCTGTAAATGAGGGTCCTAGTGTTATTGGTAATGAAAATGATATCGATGCTATTAATAACACTATGGCTCTTAGTACACAGGCAATAACTGCAGTTTCCAATATAGCACAACGATTGCAAGCAAGAGTACAAGAAATTCAGCAATAGAGAGATGAGGTGTGCTTATTAAAGCAACAACTGGTTAATATGTGTAAGGAGAAGAAAGAGCTAAAAAGGAAAAATGCACAGTTGGAGAATGCGGTGCAATATTATGCAACAGTTATAATGCCGAGACTCACAGAAGTCAAAAATAGAGAGAAGCATGTAAAAGAGGTTCATGAAAAATTGTTAAGAGAAGTGAAACGGAAAAAATCTGTGAAACCTTTTGAAAACTTACATGTTATCGCGTAAAATTTTCTTCTTCTGAAATAAAATTGCAAGCATTTCTCCTCCTTTTTTTTATAATTATTTTATTATTATTATTATTTTTATATATTTAAAAATTCTGCCCAAAAAAAAATGGTTGGTGTAGATTTATTATTATTTTTATATATTTAAAAATTCTGCCCAAAAAAAAATGGTTGGTGTAGATAAAGAGTAAAAATTATATATACTCTCCCTAAAATTATGCACAGAATATACAAACATCCATTTTTATTTATTTATTTATTTATTTTAATTTTTAATCTCAAATTATTACA